ATCCTTCTGGGGTTCCCGTCTGCTCCTTGCAGTCATGGGCCTTTCGCATCTGCAGTTCTTCTGGACTTCTTGAGTCTGCGCTCTGGATTCTATGCCCTCCTCCTCGGACTGTTGTCTCCTGTCCGGCTTCTGTTGGGGCCAGGTGCCTGGATGGTGGCCCTGGACCTCCAAGTCACTTCTTGGCACGTTCCTCTCCAGTTTTCTGGGACTGGCACAGTTGGTGGTGGGGCTTCAGGCTTGCTGCTTTTGTTGCCTTCCCTATTTTGTAATGGGCACTTGGTATATATTTTTTTTTTTTTTTGCATCTCTACCGGATCTTAGTGCCCTGTCTGAGTCTGAGATTCGGTGTCTGGCCTACCTCGACGACTGGCTGGTGTGGGCTCCCAGTCAGTCCACTTGTCTGCTCGCTAGGGGTGTGGTTCTTTCCAGATCGCCGGGTTTGGTTTCCTGGTGATCTGGAGGCCATTCCATCTGTTTCCGTCCCGGGTTCGGACCTGGGCTTTGTTTAGGGCTATTGGGCCACTCGTTGTCATTCCCTCCAGAAGTGTTACTGCGGCTGTGGTCCCGCAGTAACTGTACATGAGGGGGTCCCGGGTTGCTCAGCGGTTGCTTGAGCAGTTGTGCGGGAGTCTGAACTTCGACGTGCTGGTCTGCCCGCTAAGTCGGGTTTGGCTTCGGCGTCTGTTTGGTTCTTTCGGAGACTTCCCTTCCGCCTCTTGCATTCGTTGGGTTCGTACCTCCGGGGATCTTGTGTTGGTGCTGCGTCACCAGCTTCCTCTTTGGGGTTTTCAGGGTTCCGTGCCTTGGCACCTCCCCGAGCCTTTACTCGATGTGTTCACGGACGGGTCATCTCTCGGCTGGGGCTTTGTGACCAGTGCTCACCAGGTCGGCCGAGGTTGTTGGAGTCTGTCCGTCCGTCGGGCTCACAGCACGGTTCGGGAGTTCGTGGCTGTCTGGTTTGCGCTTCGGAGGTGTTGGGTCACTCGGTGCTCTACCATTCAGCTCTGTTTGGACTGTTCTCTGGCGGTTCTTGCCGGAACCATGGGGGTTTGGCTAACCATGAGGTTCATGTCTGGGGTGTGTCCTGCGTCCTGGCGGACAGCTGTCCCGGTTCATTCCTCTCTTCGCAGATTGGCCAGTCGTCGTCGACTCGTTTTGTTGGCTCTGTCGAACGTATGGACTCTTGGCCATACGTTCGACAGAGCCATACGCCTAAACCTTCGAGTCGGCGTGGTCTAGGCGTCGCTCATTTTATGTGGCGCCCTTTCCCACCTGCGAGGCATTCACGGTGGATGCTTTTCGGCAGGACTGGTCGAGGTAGGGGTACCTGTTCCTCTTCTCCCGGTCCAGCTGTTGCTTCGGGTTCTGGCTCGGTTGCAGCCCATTCCCACGAGAGCAGTCCTTATGGTTCCTTGGTGGCCGGCCCAGCCTTATTTTCAGACACTGCTTGATAGGTGTTCGAACCTGGGGCGTTTCCCACGGCTCCGCCTCTTTCGGCAGGTCGAATCGATCCTGTACGTGACTGGTTCGGCCTTCTCCTCGGCTCTTCGCGTCTGGTATTTTGACGCGGGTATCACCATCTCTGTGGTGTTCAGGTGGCTTTGTTGACAGTGTCCCACCTGCGAGCTTCGTCTTGGCGACAGTATGACGTTTCGTACGCTTTCTTGTGTTTTGTTTCACCTCCGGCCTGCTCATGCGTCGCCCGAGTCGTCCTGGTCCTTGATCAGGGTGCCTTCTTATCTTCTCAGTTTGTGGTAGCCCCTTCGGTTTAGGTTTCTGCTCTTTGGTACTGGTGGTAGATTTATACGTGTGCAGCATTTCTCCGTCCTGGCGACGGTCGAGACGGCTGCTTTCCGGAGGGGTTCTTGGGTTATTGATGCTTGATTGGTTTGGCCGGGGGTGCGTCCTGTGTTGTCCGGTTGCGTTTTTTGCCGTTGCCTGCGTACTGTGTCTGGGGATGCACTGTGGTTGATCCAGTTCCCCTCGTTCCCTGTTTTCAGGGCTCGAGTCTCCCAGGTCGTCCGCAGAGTTTTTCATTCTTCCAGCCTGCGGTCTGTCTTTGCGCCCGTGCTGTTCAGACGTTTGCAGCTTTTGCTGGTATGTTGGCGACGTCTAGGGCTCATTTCGGGCGCAGGGATTTGAGGGTCGCACAGGTTCTTGGCCGCCCATTCTTTATGCGCGTCTGCTCCTGTGCGTTCTTGTTGCTTTGGGGCGCAGGTTGCGACCTGTTGTCTCGGCTTTGCGTTGCAGAGTTTGTGGCGGCCGCCTCCCGGGTTAGCCCTTTCTTCTCCTTCTCTTTGGGTATGAAGCTCCAGGGAGCCGTAGGGGCTCCCCACAGAAAACCAGCATTGAATGTAATGAAACGCCATTTTCTGGGTGAGCCCTGGAGGCTCCCTGGCAACCCTCCCTCCCATTGGTCGGCGGTTTTTTCGCGTTGGTTGAAGCTTAGCTTCCGAACTGAAGCTTGGCAGCCGGCGCGGTAGGTCCGGGGCTTCCCCCTTCCCCTCACGGGGCGGGGAGGGCTACGCGGACGATCGGCGCAGCAGTAAAGTGTGATGTTTGCTTGTTTGCTTGTTTCCTTGGGATTGTAGGGAGTTTCTATCTCTGCTCGTTTTTTTGTTTTAGTTTTTTACCATGTGGGGTTTGTTTTGTTATGCCTACCTTTCTGGGTGCCTAACCCCGGTCGATGGCAGATAAGGAAAACTCCAACCACAAAGGGGTTTTCCAGGGCCATTGCTCCCTGAAACCTCTCTGAAGGGACCATGTTCTGGCGCTGGTCCCTGGTAGGTCTGAACTCCTTAGCTAATGTCCCAGTCTAATATAACATACATTAGCCCGATAAGCTCCAGGGAGCCTCCGGGGCTCACCCAGAAAATGGCGTTTCATTACATTCAACGCTGGTTTTTTGCCGCTCTCACGATCGCTAGGTTCGACCCTGATTGTCCTTGTGCCGGTTGGTTCCTCTTCAGGTTTTTTGTTCACGAATGCCTTATCTGTCTGTTGGAGCTTTGTCACTAGAGCTCACCAGTCTGGCTGGGGGGATTGGCGGCTGATCATGCATCGGGCTCACAGCACGGTGCAGAAGTTTGCGGCTGTGTGGCTGGCACTACAGAAGGTTCAGCTTTCTTGGGGCTCGATGATCTGGTTCCATTCGGACTGCTCCCCCAAATGTTGTTCATTGTCTCATCCAGGAGTGGCAGGGGGGGGGGGGCTTTTTGGACTGGGGGTTTTATTCGTTTGGTCCTGGTGGTCATTTTGTTCATTTGCTGTCGTCTCCATTTCTGGCAAAGATTGAAACGGCGGGCTTCCGGAGGGGTCCCTTGGTGTGGATGCTTAGTTGGTTCGGCCAGGGGTGTATCCTGGGTTGTGTCCTGTAGCTACTTTGCAAGCCGCTACCTGCAGGCCACTGGTTCTGTATTGGTGGCCACGTTCTGGGTTGGTCCAGTTTTCCAGGTTCCCTGTTCCAGGCACATGTGTCTCAGATCATCTGCAGTGTCTTTGAATCTAGCCAGCCTGCAGTTATCTCTCAGACCTCATGCCGTTATGAAATATGCTGCTCTCTTGGCGGTGTTTGGGAATATGTCTTAGGACATTACTCGGATTCAGGGTTTGGAGGTCTCACTGGGTATCTGCCAGGGAGCCGGTCGGCCGAGCGGACAGCACGCTGGACTTGTGATCTTGTGGTCCCGGGTTCGATCTCGGGCGCCGGCGAGAAACAATGGGCAGAGTTTCTTTCACCCTATGCCCCTGTTACCTAGCAGTAAAATAGGTACCTGGGTGTTAGTCAGCTGTCACGGGCTGCTTCCTGGGGGTGGAGGCCAGGTCGAGGATCGGGCCGCGGGGACACTAAAGCCCCGAAATCATCTCAAGATAACCTCAAGATAGGTATCTAGTGTAGGTTCCTAGCCGTCTGCGTCCTTGTGTTGCATTGGCACATCTATCGCGGCCATCTGTCTCTTCATTCATTTGAGACCTGCAGTGCTGTTGCCTCCCTAGTACAGTATGTCATTGTTTTTCCTTCTCTGTGGGTAGTTAGCTTCTGGGAGCCGATAGGGCTACCCACCGAAAACCCCAATTTCTGGGTGAGTGCCGGAGGCTTTCTGACACCTTCTCTCCCTTCAGTCGGCAGCTTTTATCATTCAAACAACTGGCTGGTATGTGGCCTGGCTTGTCCAGGCCAGCTCTCCTTCAACCTGTGGGGATGAGGATGGTGCTAATGAGCGGGGGGGGGGGGGTAAGGGTTTAGATGGACATAGTTTACTTTGTTGGGGAGTTCTTTTGGTCTTTTGAGGACGTAGGTCGCACTTTTCAACCAGGAAGTAGTCTGTTTTGATTTGCCTACCTTTCTGGGTGCCTTTCCTGGTCGATGGCAAGACATTTTACATGTAAAGTGTTTATGGGCCATTGCTTCCTATACCTCTAAGGGGGCCAGGTTCTGGCTTGTGGTCCCCAGTAGGCATACAAGGACGTTTGCAACTGATGACACTCAAGTAGTATATCACTTGATCAGCAAGATAGTTTTAGGGAGCCTCCGGGGCTCACCAAGAAACAGGCATTTCATTACATTTAATGCGTTGCAGAATCTCTGCCTGAAACGCTGCACGTACTAGTGGCTTTACAAGATTGTAAATACTATGCTATGTATTCTCTCTAACCCAATGTACCTTCTTGTATATAAATAAATAAAATAAATAAATAAATGTTGTTTTTTTGGAATTTTTATTGTTTGTGTATAGGCCGGTATGACCATTTCTCCATACCATAACCGCTGTCTAAGGGTTAAACAGCATGTATAATGTCACGTAGCAATGCTAGCAATTCAAATAATTATGTAAATTAAATATAGATATACTTGGCTATTTTTACACTTTGATTTCTGGGGGGTATCAGGGTTTGAGATTTTTACATGTTACAGTGCAATACTTGCTTGTTCTTACACTGCAATTGCAAATCTACTTTTATATATATACTGTATATATATTTATATAAACATATTTCAGGTGCTAGATGGTCGTCAGTTGGCTCTGAAAATATCTGCTAACTCTGTTTATGGGTTCACAGGTGCTCAGGCTGGCAAGTTGCCTTGTTTGGAGATCTCTCAGGTATGACTGACTCAAATATTAAGCATCATAGTAACACAAATATTATTTTTCCATGCTTTGATAAGTGATAACATTACAGTAGACTCACATGCAATATTTATTAAAAACTCGATACAGTAATTCAATACTGTATATGCTGGCATACAAGTCGATCCGGCACATAGGTCGACCCTTAAAATTTTTGAGGTGTAATTCAGGTTTAGGCCTATATTTGCCAGATAAGATGATCCCCCAAAATAGGGCAGCATCAATTCCCCTACTCTACTGTATGAAAAGAAAAAACTGCAGTATCTCATAAATATATGGTAGCTTAACTAATATTTGCCTCATAAGACTTAGGTGTTAAAATTAGTTCTTTCTGCAGCCATGTCACCTCTTGCCTCTGTTAAACTATTGCCCAAGTTTCTTTTGTTGGTATCACTCAAAGGCTACACAAATAAACATGCATTATGTAGCAGAAACACAATGATATTGAAAACTTATTACAGAAATACTGGTAATATAGAATGCTAATATCAAGTGGAACAGAATTGGGGCAGAGTTCACAGAGTGGGGAAATATGTCTTATCATATCACACATTTCAATTTTAAATTACCTGTACCTTCATATGACAGGTTGAAATTATATTTTTCCTCGGCGAAATATCCCTCCCTCTGGCTCTGTCGTCCAGTAGTTCTATCTCTGACGCCTCTCTTTCAATACACAGAGAAATTACATTATTGTGATATATCTATGAACAAATACACAGGAACCGTGATGATAATGTGATACCTTTGTGTGTTGGATGAGGGGTGTCAGAGGTAGAACTACTGGATGAGTGTCTAAGTGCATGGGGTGAATTGGGTGAAACCCTGGTTTGGCTTAAGTGGAAGCCTTGGGATCCTTGTGAGTGCAGTAGTACCCCAGGTTGAAATTTTTACCATGTCATGGTGCAGTTGACTAGTGTGTGCATCTGGGAATACCCAGCACATAGGTGCAAACCCTTATCACGCCTTCTATGGATTTGTTCATTGGAGCCTGGAATATCAAATGGGATTACAGTGTTAATGAAGTAAGCTTAGGGGTAGCAGTTGAGGACTGCCCAGAAAGGGGGATTTCCATTCACAATGCACTCTAATTTTTATTACAAATGAAAACAAATTTAAAAAATTATTTATTCATTTCACATCAATAAATTACTTTCGTAACCTTGCAGTCATGTGTAGATTGAAGATAGCCTTAATGATAATGACCATTTGGGTGCAATAACTAGCAAGAGGCTATGGTAGAATCCACAATAACAAATTAATTAACTTTGCACTTTGCTGTAAGGTTCATCCTTACTTTTGTATAAAAAAAAAATTGAAGTGTTAAGTTTGTTTGTACAAATATAGTACTGACATGTACGTTGGCTTTAAGAAACCAAGACCAAAAGCCTATTTATAAATTGTGGGGTAATGTGTGAATTATGTTCATGTTGTTGTTCTTTAATGTGTATTTAACAAATGAATAACAAACCCTTGCAGAGCGTGACTGCTTTTGGACGGACAATGATTGCCTTCACAAAAGATCAGGTTGAAGAAAAATATACAACTGAAAATGGATATGAGCACAAAGCTGAGGTTAGTGAATCAGTAGTTTACATTGTCTTCAGTTGGGGGGTAGCCAGCCCATCCTCCAAATATGAGAGTACTTATAGCAATTATTGACCAGGCAGACAAAAATGGACTGTTGTAATCCAAAGAGTTAACTTTATATATTATTGGAATGCTTCAAATGGAGCGTTTGGAGAGGAGAGCAGTAACTATACAACCTAACTTATCCTGTACTAGGCCTAAATGTGCAATGTTAGACCTAATATGTGCCATCTTAGGGTTAATTTAGTAGATAAGTGCTATAATAGCCCTGAAAAGTTTAGATTTGGTTGTTGCCATTTTTCTCATGGCCTCCACATAATTTAATAGTATGAAATGTCTGTTTTGAGTGTGACAGTCCATATTTGTACATTCGACCAATAGTTCAAGTCTGGGGAGGTTTTCGGGAGTTCCTCTACTCCTCGATGCAGGCTCAACTTCTGATAACTTGGTCCAACAGGCTATTGCTTGGAGTGGCCCGCAGGCTCATATATCCACTACAACCTAGTTGGTTTGGCACTTCTTACAAGAACTTGTCTAAATTCTTTTTGAAAATATTCACCTTTGTTCCGGCAATATTTCTAATGCTTGCTGGGAGGGTGTTGAACAGCTGTGGACCTCTGATGTTCAGACTGTTCTCTGATTGTGCCTATGGCACCTCTACTCCTCACTGGTTCTATTCTGCATTTCCTTCCATATCTTTCGCTCCAGTATGTTGTTGTTGTTCTACTGTGCAAATTTGGGACCTGGCCTTTCAGTATCTTCCATGTATATATATATTATTAGATAACTTTCTCATCTCCTTTCTGAAGCACACATTTTAAGAGTTTTGAGATGGTCCCAATAAGTTAGATATTTTACCGTTTCTATGCATGCCGTATATGTTCTCTGTATTCCCTCTAATGCAGAGATCTCTCCTGCTCTGAAAGGGGAAGTGAGTACCGAGCAATACTCAAGACGGGACAGCACCAGTGATTTAAATAGCATTACCATTGCTGTGGGGTCTCTGGATTTGGACGTTCTCATTATCCATCCTATAATTTTCCTGGCTGCCGCTTTAATTTGCTCGGTTATTTTAACTAAATGTTAGGTTGTCAGATATCATCATTAACCAGATCTTTTACATGTTGCATTCCTTCTATGATTGTGTTTGATTGTGTCCTGTACTCTGTATTTCATTTAAGTTCGTCATTTCCACCATACCCATGTACCCAGTACCTGGAACTTATTACCATTAAACATCATGTTATTTTCAGTTGCCCAAACAAAGAATTTATATAGTTTATCAGTGACTTCTTCAGAGGAAATTTTCATGCTTATTTTTATATCATCTGTATCATCATCAGCAAAGGATGACATGAAGCTGTGACAAGTATTTTTGTCTATATTTGAGATAAGAATGAGAAATAGCAATGGTGCCAGTACTGTGCCCTGGGGTTCAGAGCTTTACACTGCACTTGGACTTGATCTTATTCGACTGACTGTTACTCTCTGCATTCTGTTCGACAAAATTGAAAATCCAATGCTCCATTTTACCCATTATTCCTATTCATATCATTTTATCAGGTATCAATCGATGGTCACATTTGTTGAATGCATTTGTTAAGTCTGTGTATACAACATTTGCATTTTGTTTTTCTAAAGATTCTGTGATTTTGTCACTGTGGTTGAGTAACTGTGACAGACAGGATCTTTCCATTCTAAATCCATATTGTCCTAGGTTGTGAAGTTCATTGTTATCGATAAAACTGGAAATTTGATTCCTAATCACTCGTTCAAAATATATTATGTGTGATGTTAGTGCAACTGGTCTATCCCCCTTGTGCAGAGGTAGTAACTGTGTTTGTTTTTTTCTGTCTGTGTTGAAGTTCTGTGACTTGTGTTCTCAGGTCTCTAAGGTTCCCACCTTTGTCTGTTCCTGAGGGGCTCCCAGGTCACCCAGCAGTTACTCGAGAATTGTGCGGGAGCCTGTGATTGCAATGGTGGTCTACCCGCCGTGTTGGGTGTGGCATCGTTGGCTGTTCTGGTTCCTTCAGGGACATCCCATCCGCCTCCCTTGCGACCGCTGGGTTTGGCCTCCGGGGGCGCTGAGGGGGAGGCTTGCTCTATTTTTTCCCGCTTGGTCCCTCATTTCATGAGCGGTTCAGGTTGTGTCCTCCAGCCTGTAGTAGCGTCAAGTGGCTGCTCCTCCTCCTCTTTGGGGGTTCGGAGCTGGCGGTGTGGGCTTCTCATTCGCTCCGTCAAGTCATCTTGTTCCGGTCCCGCTACGGGGAAATGTGAGGTTTCAGGTTCATCTGGTTTTGTTCTGTCTGTACCGCTGACTTCGTTCTGGATGTCTGCCCCATTTCCGGCTTCTTTTGGGGCCTGGTTGTTGGGGATGTCTCTGGCCCTTCGGGTCGTGGGTTGGTGTGTCTTGCTTCCTCCGGGGTTTAGGGACTATTTCATTTTCATTGTGGGATGGCTTGCTTATCATTTTCATTGCCTTTTGCCCTGCTTTTGGCATCTCGTATTTCCGCATCTTAGCCATTTCATGGTGGATCACCTATGTCTGCTTGGTATTTGGGTGTTGGCCCACCTCCAAGGCTGGTTGGTGTGGGCTCCCAGTTAGTCTGCTCACCCGGGGTGTGGTTCTTTCCCAGCTCGCCAGGTTCAGGTTCCTGGTGCACTAGGGGAGGTCCCATCTTGTTCCATCCTGGATTCGATCCTGGTTGGGTCTTGTTTGGGACTCTCGGACCATTACCTTGTCTCTCTCACCGGAGGCGTTGCTGCGGCTGCAGTCCCGCCTTCGGCTGTTTCTGAAGAGCTCTCGGGTCACTCTTCGGTTGCTCAGGCAGCTGTGCGGGAGTCTAGACTTTGCTGTGCTGGCTTACCCGCCAGATCAGGTTGGCTTCAGCATCTGTTCTCGTTCCTTCGGGGATGTTCCTTATGCCACTCTCGTGGTCACTGGGTTCAGCCTCCAGTGGCCTTTCATCGGCTGCTGCGTTGCTGGCTTCCTCTTCGTTTTTTTTGGGGGAACGCGCTTCACGTCTTCATTGGGAGTTGTGTGGTGCAACTGCCTCATGGGTATGTTCCTCTTTTTTTTTTGGGTAGTTAGCTCCAGGGAGTCGATGGGGCTCCACCACAGAAAACCAGCATTGAATGTAATGAAATGCCATTTTCTGGGTTGAGCCCCAGAGGCTACCTGGCCCCATCCCTTCCCTAGGTCAGCAGGTTTTGTTTCCGTTTTCAGCCTCCAAACTGATGGTTCGACTGCCGGCTCAGTGGGCTGGGACTCCCTTTCCCCCCTCCCTGGGGTGGGGGTAGGGGGGGTCGGAGCGAACGAGCGGCGCACGATGTGATTGACATGTTGCTTCTTAGCTTGTTTTTCTTTGGGGAAGTTTCACGCCTCTTCGGTCTCAGGTTGCAATTTTCTACCAGGAAAATTACAATACTGTTTTGAAGCGCCTACCTTTCTGGTTGCTCAACCCCGGTCGATGGCAGACATAAATACTTTTATACACAAGCGTTTCATAGGCTAATGCTCCCTGCACCACTCTGAGGGGACCAGATTCTGGTTAGTGGTCCCCGGTAGACATGACAACTCCATATGACTGAAGCCCCTTACAAATATTAGCTAATATCAGTCCAATTACTCCAGGGAGCCTTCAGGGCTCTACCTAGAAAATGGTGTTTCATTACATTCAATGCTGATTTTTTGTATAACTGCTTTCTAAAAATTATTATATTTACTTTGTATTTATTTTTGTAACCATTACTGTCTATGTAATTATAGAATTGTGCTTACAGGTTATATATGGAGATACAGACTCCGTTATGGTGAAGTTTGGTGTACAAACTGTAGCGGAAGCCATGGAATTAGGGAAGGAAGCTGCCATGTACGTCACAGATAAATTTATTAAGCCCATTAAACTGGAATTTGAGAAGGTACTGTGCATTCATTAAAATTGATTATTTTGTCATAAGTGTGAGTGATTTCCAATACAGAGCACCACTTGGTTCCCGAACTTTAGTTATCCGAAACTTCCAATTTCCCGATTGGTTGGGTTGGTTGTAGTCACGCTACACCAACTAAGTTCGGGTAGGAAGTAGTCCGCCAAGCTTCACGCCGGCCAGGGTTGGGGTTACACTACACGAACCAAGTTCGGGTGAGGAAGCGGTCTGCCAAGCTTCGTGCCAGCCCGTGGTGGTGGGTGGGTGGATGGGAGATGGTTTAGTTTGCCCACTGACCGTGTCAGATGCCGCCTGCTACCCTGTGACGTCACAGATTCACGGCCTATTGTTCCCATTGTTTGAATTTGTCACGAGACGGGAGTGTTCATTCCGTGACTTTCTTTTACATATCAGCACAATCAAGGAACATCCGGGCACCATATCGACTCCAAATGCACGCATTGTGTCAGTGAAAGCATCAACAAGCAGGTTACGTAAAAGAAAGAGGTAGTGATGACATTTGAGAAGAAAGTTGAAATAATTAAGAAAGTGGAGAGCGGTGTCCCGAGAAGTGTCGTTGTACTGAATATGGCATTAGTAAAAGTACTGTTTTTGATCTTCTTAAGGCTAAACCTATCAAATTTTGACTATTTCTCTAGAAGTGAAAGTGATAAGGCAATACGAAATAGAAAGGTAGTAAGTAAAGCAATAGTGGAGAGTGTTAATATCGCAGTGTGGGAGTGGTACAAACAGAGACGCGAGGTAACGAAGAAGCCAGTGGCAGGCTGGCTGCTCATGGAAAAGGCTCGTGAATTTCACCAAGCAATGAAAATTACTCAAAAGTGTGTATACAGTGATGGATGGCTCAGAAGCTTTAAAACCCATCATGGCATTAGGTTCATTAAAATGCATGGTGAAAGACAATCTGCTGATATTGTTGGTGCTGATGAGTATACAAATAAATTTGCGGAGACGGTACAGGAACAAAATTTATCTCCAGAGCAAATTTATAATGCTGGTGAGACAAGTTTGTACAGTACTGGTGTATGCTTCCGACAGACACGATGGCTCATAGTGGTGAGGACGATCCTTCAGGTGGTTATAAACAGAACAAACAGAGAATTTCTTTGTTGTGCTGTGCAAATGCAGCTGGCACACACAAATTAAAATTACTTGTAATTGGAATTGATAAAAACCCAGGGCTTTAAAGTCAGCCAGGTGCCTCCCTGTGATTTATAAGGACCAGCCAAGTGCGTGGATGTCTCGCATAATATTTGCCGAGAGGTTTAATAAAAACTTTGTACCCGAGGTGAAGGAGCACCTGAAAAGTGTTGGTCTCCCGCAAAACAGCAAAGTTGTGCTGCTGCTAGATAACAGTTCAACGCATCCACGAGGTGATGAGCTTATAAATGGCAATATTATTGGAACGTTCTTGCCACCCAATACAGTGGAACCTCTATTAACGAGTTTAATCCGTTCTGGCACAGAGCTCGTTATCTGGAAAACTCGTCTTAAGAAACAAATTTCCCCATTTAAAATAAAGGAAATAAATTTAATCCATTCTACTCCCAAAAACATCCATACATGTATGACATTTTTTTATGTAAATATAACACTGCACATGTAATTATAAATGTTTTGTTGTACTGTTTTCATGTTTACTTTACCTTATGAAGAGTCGTTGCTGGCTTGAGAGAGACGATGGGGAGGTGGGAAGGAGGAGAGGGGTTATGGTGTGGAAGGAGAATCCACCTCTGAGTCAGGCAGGCTCTCTCTTCTTGGGAATTTCACCCCACTGGGACCGGGTTGTGGTTCACTATCACTGGCTCTTCTTTTCTCTACTTTTGGAAAGAACGTATCTATTGACAATTGCTTTTGTCTTTGTTTTAGGATGTCCCTAAAACGAGACAGCAAATTGTCATTAAACATGTTCACACTCCAGGTTGTCACTGCTTGATCAGGGTGATGTTTTTCTAAGAATGCGGTCACCTTTTCAAACATTCCCAACACTTCCCTGATCTCACTTGAAGAGGCAGCAGCATCCTCCCGTACCTCCTCCTCCCCTGATGAGAACTCTTGTGCCTCCTCTTGATTAATCTCCTTCTGAAGTTCCAGGAGTTCCTCAGTGGTCAGTTCCTCACTGTGCTCCTCCACTAACTCCTGCACATCAGCAGCATCCAACTCCAGACCCAAAGTTTGCCCCAGAGCAACAATATCATCCACTAGATGCACTTCCGGGTCTTCCACAGGTGAAGATGCAGATGCAAGTGCAGGACTGAAACCTTCGAAGTCTCGCTAAGGGATACCCTCAGGCCACAGGTTACGCCATGCAGAGTTTAGAGTCCTCCGTGTCACTCCTTCCCAGGCCTTATCGATCAAACGTAAGGCACCCAGGATATTGAAGTGGTTCTTCCAGAATTCTTTGAGGGTCAGCCCTGTATTGTCGGTCACATCAACACACCTCTCCAACAAGGCCTTCATGTAGAGTTTCTTAAAGTTTGCAGTGACTTTCTGGTCTGTAGGTTGGAGGAGTGGAGTGTTATTGGGAGGAAGGAACTTGGTGATGAACTGATTTTCGGGATACAATTCATCTCGCATCTGTGGAGGATGTGCAGGAGCATTATCGAGCACAAGCAAGGCCTTGAGTGGCAACTGTTTCTCTTCAAGATATTTCCTCACTGAAGGGCCAAAAACAATATTGATCCATTCAGAGAAGAATATCCGCGTGACCCAGGATTTCTTATTGGACCTCCACATCACATTCAGTCGCGCCTTGTACACTTTACATGCCTTGAACACGCGTGGAATTCCTGAGTGGTAGACTAGCAGCGGCTTGACCTTGCATTGGCGCAGAGGACGAGAGTAAGCCGATCCTTCATCGGTTTGTGGCCAGGCAAAGAATGTTCCTCCTGTGTGATGTAGGTCTTCTTCGTCATTTTCTTCCAAAACAGGCCAGTCTCATCACAATTAAAAACTTGTTGGGGCAAGAACTCCTTTCCAGCAACAAATTCCTGGAACTCTGGTACAAATTTCTCAGCAGCAGCTTTTTCAGAGCTGGCAGCCTCCCCATGTCACACAACACTGTGGATACCGCTTCTCTTCCTAAATTTCTCAAACCATCCACGGCTTGCCTTAAATATCTCCTTCTCTTCAGACGACGCACCTGGTGTCTTCCTGACAAGGTCCACATACAACTTCTTGGCCTTTGCACAGACAAGAGCTTCAGACACACTATCGCCATGCAATTGCCTTTCATTCATCCAGACTAGCAGTAGCTTTTCAACCTCTTCTAGGATTTGTGGACGTTTCTTGTTAACCTTGGTAACTCCTTTAGCCACCTCAAGCATCTTAAATTGTTCCTTCCTCTTCAGAATGGTACAAATCGTTGATGAGGACCTGCCATACTCCCTGACAAGATCAATCACACGCACACCACGGTCATGCTTTGCTATTATTTCCTTCTTCACTTCCACGGTAATTGTCGCTTTCTTCCCCTTGCCAACACTGTCTTTAGCAAGCAGCTTCTTTGGCGACATGGTGCGTTGCAAACAGCAGTCATAAAACCACAAAAAAACAGAGAAAAGCGCAAATAAATCTAGAGGGATGCTTGTCGTGTGAGATACAACAACGACACTGGCGTCGGAGGCGTCCTAGAATTTACGAGAACCTGCAAGACGCTAGGAAGCACCATGTGGTTTTGCTCGTTAATAGAGGTGAAGCTCGTCAATAGAGACAAATTTGCTGCGAGTGGCTTGCTCGTTAATAGAGCCGCTCGTTAATCGAGGTTCCACTGTACAACTTCAGTGATCCAACCCATGGATCAAGGAATAATTAAGAACTTTAAACACCACTACAAGAGGATGTTTGCCATACGTCTTAATAATCAGCTTGGAACAATTAAGGACTTTTATAAAGTCTTCACAATAAAGTCGGCTATCTGGACTATTGCTAGTGCACGGGATGAGGTAAAGCAGACAACACTAAGAAATGGTTGGAAAAAACTTTGGCCCACGTCAAGTCTGTTTCCTGAGGAAGATGACGAGGCAGATTTTGAAGGATTTGCTGTGAAGAAAGTTAGCGAGAGGAAAAAATTAAGAGAGGAACTCCCAGCCTATGTCAAGGGGATTAAGTTCCCTGAGCTGAGAGCAGAATTTGTGACTGAAACAATAGAAGATGACATAGATAGATGGATCGATTTTGATGAAGAAGCCCCAAACAATCGAAACATGACTGATGATGAAATTATGGAATTAGTATGTGCAGCAAAAAAGCTAGAAGAGTGCAATGAAGAAGATGGAGAGGATGAGGATGAGGATGAAGAACGTTAAAGGAAAAATGTAATATGGAAAAAATTCAGCAAAATTTTGAAGACATTCTGGCATTTATGGACACGAGTTACAGCGAGTTTGAAATTAAGGACATGATGACTCAGTACAATTTGTATATGAAGTTTTTAAAAACAAGAGCCAAGGGAATGAAACAAATGTCAATTACAGAGTCTTTTGCAATGGCTTCCAAGAAAGCTTGCATTGCATCACCAGCACCTGACTCATCACATGTTGGCCCAGTCAACCCAACAACTTCAGCCAACCCAACACCATCAACATCCACCTCTTCCATGTAAATAACTATGCTTCATCAACATCGATCATCAACATAAGCGGATCAGGACTTCAATTATTGGTGGATACAAACAAAATACGGTTGCATTTACACTATGAACCTGTCAGTTTTTTTCCCTAGAGTTTTTTCCTAAATTTGTTATATTTTTTTTCCTCCATTTCTCTTACACAAACTTACATGTTAACCGATGGGTCTTGTCTCCAAGGGGTTCGGAAACTAAGTGCTGCTCTGTATTACTATCTTTAGGGAACCGGGTCTATGATTTCTCAGCCTTCCTCACACTCAAATTTTTTTGTGCATAATCTACATAGTAAATGCTCCAACTTTTCTTAATGGATCAATATCATAACATGAACAGAAAAAAAAAATTACAATTTCATAAATTGATCTAAATATCATCTTTCTTTTCATGTGTGGGGGTTCAAAAATTGATTTTAATAATATTTAAAAATAATTTTTATTTGTAATGTAATATGAACTTCCAGGTGTACTTCCCATACCTGCTGATCAACAAAAAACGTTATGCTGGGCTTTATTTTACCAGCGCAGAAAAACATGACAAGATGGACTGTAAGGGAATCGAGACAGTGAGGCGAGACAACTCTCCCATTGTGGCAAATCTCATCAACACTTGTCTACAAAAAATCCTTATTGAAAGGTAAAGTCAAAGTCTTATTATTTTCTCATAGAATTTAAATTGGGAGCTCATCACTGAGATGTAGGTTGATTTAGAGTAATGTGCAGCATTTTATAGTTACTTTGCACAATAACAGACCCTTTCAAACTGGAGAAATTGTTGATTTGGAGTGTGTGCAGAGATCCTTTACTGCTAGAATCCACTCAGTAAATCATCTAAATTACTGGGACCGACTAAAATGCCTAAATCTGTATTCTCATGAGAGTACGCGGGAGAGATTTATATACTGTACACAAGACTTCTTACATTCTTGTATAGCCACTAGCATGCATAGCGTTTCAGGCATGTCCTTAATCTTACGTTCCCCGGAATACGACCCACCAAATCGTTTAACAACCAGGTACCCATTTTACTGTTGGGTAAACAGAGGCTACAGTTAAGGATTGACGCCCAGTAAATCCTCCCTGGCCAGGATACGAACCCAGGACAAAGCGTTCGCCAAACGCCAGGCGAGTGTCTTACCACTACACCACGGGGAATGGTGGTACATGATAATTTACACATGCAAAATATTCAAGGGGCTGATCCCAAATGTGCACACACAAATAGCAACACATGAGACCAGAAAGCATGGCAGGATGTGCAGAATACCCTATTGAAAAGCAGAGGTGCAATAGGTACTCTGAGAGAGAACTCTATCAACATCAGAGGCCCGAGACTGTTCAACACGAATCCGAAGGAACCTCAGGGCTACGAATCCGAAGCGCTGTCCATTCAGCTATCAGACCCCTATGAGTCATGGATGAGTGGATCATTTCCCTCAAACAACCAATGGTCCATCACCATTACATTGTACAAGAAACCAAGAATCCAGGAGGGGATCACCACTCCCACAATGGTTGAGCAGATAAGCAAAATGACACCAAACACCTGGTGACATGTTTCTTAAGCTTCCTACACCAAGTCAAAAAACCTGTATATCAATCAATTCAGGGCACAAGAGGGTCAAAAAGAAGAACAGCAGCCATGCTGTCAAATTAAAGTTATTCAAAAAGGTCTGCTTTCAGGAAAGTAGAGCCCAAAAAGTAGTTCGACTTCACATCAGTAAGAAGAGATGGAAAAGTACTGGGCCAAGGCCCTAGCTACTGACAAAATAGACATGATGGCCTAAGCAGTCATTGCCAAGAGTGAAAACCTGACTGCAGCTGTGTAGTGAATATCATCGGTCAAGGCCTCAGCTAATGGATGTGACCCTTGAGGTTCACAATGATACAAAATTAAACACTTGAATGTGGTCTTATTCAATCAGTTTAATTTTATTAATATATTTGGTTTCTGTGGGGTCTTGTGCTACTATACTACTGATGATGTTCAAGGGTAGCTGGTAGCAACCACTTTGCGTTTGAGATTTTCTGCGTTACAGCGGTCCCAGTTATTTGCTCTGTTGGATGTCCCAGATTTGTCCCGCTTGTAACTCTGATTTGTATGTGTTGGTTAACTCAACTGTGGTTCTGTCTGCACCTTCTCTTCCTTCCCTAGCAGGCGTGGTTCGCCCTCCTCCACAATGCTTCCAGCCCCGAAGCATCTGATGGTTTCAGAGTCAGGGTAGCGTTTAGCTTGGGATGTGGCTTGGGCAGATTTTTTGTTTGCCCCTTCCAACAATGGGCACAGAGGCAGTTGAGCTTTCAGTTACTGCTGAGGCTTCTGGATCTTTCCAGTCAGCTCCTTCATCTGAGGCCTTTTCCATGGACTTTGCTTTTCTATCCCGGGCGGTGGGCATGGGCGATGACTCTGCTTCAAGGCTCCGAGGCTCTTTTCTGCAGATCCCTGGGATTTGGGAAAGTCTGAGTTGGACCCTTGGGTCCCGTTTGACCCTTTTTGAACTTTGCCTTCTATGGAAGTTTTTTGTGGCAGGGGGGTGGGGTTTTCCTATTCCCCTTCCTGTACGAGTTTGAATTAAGTGTGGCTTCCCCAATGGTTCATTTCTGAGTGCCTTTGGGTTTTTCTGTTTCGTCCTTCTTGAGGTTTTCTCATTCTTGAGGCCCTCCCCCCTCCCCCCACAGTGACTCAGGAGGTCCTTTGTGCATACCTCCTGTGCGACCTGGATTATGCCTTGGTGATGGCCCCGACCTCTTTTGAGTTCAGTTCTTCCAGTTTTTGGGAAGTGGAAAACCATTTTTATGAGGTTCCCAAGTCATCCTCACTATCAAACTGTCCTTTGTGTACCATAAAGGTGTGTTGCAATTTCTATCATTCCTGCCTGCTTTAATGGCAGGTGGTGTGTTCTGTGTTGCAAGTGTTTTTGGGGGCTCCTTAAAGCTTCTCAATGTATGCCTCTGCTCCATCTCTCCTGTGATGCAGGACTCGTGCAGCTGCATGCTCAAGTCCCTCAGTTGTCGGCTATGTTAGTTATATACGACCTACATGCCAGTTTGCACTTGGGCTCTGTTGTGTGCTTCTTGAGTCTCCAGGAGCTTCATTGCGATTGGCTAACGGAGGACGTTAGAGCACTCTGTGAGGTTCCTCTTGCGGGAGTTTTGGTCTTTGCTGCTTCTGCAATGGCAACCCTACTCAGGTGTATATATCTTTCCCCAACCCGTTCTCGCAAATTTAATAAGTCAATATTGACTTATTAAATATGTGCATAGGTGACATACTTAACATAATAGATACCCTTAAAAAGATTCATAGAAAACACCGACCTTACCTAACCTTGTTAGTATCTTAAGATAAGCATTTTATTGCTTCGTAATTACAATTATTACCTAACCTATAATAGTATAGGTTAAGTAATAATTGTAATTACGAAGCAATAAGGTGCTTATCTTAAGATACTAACAAGGTTAGGTAAGGTCGGTGTTTTCTATGAAGCTTTTTAAGGGTATCTATTATGTTTAGTATGTCACCTATGCACGTAGTTAATAAGTCAATATTGACTATACGAATTTGCGAGAACGGGTTGCTTTCCCTCAGTCCTGCTGTTGCTTCAGGTTCTGGCACAATTGGAATCCTACAGGGAAAGGGTGATCCTTCTGGCGCCTTGCCAGCAAGCCCAGCCTTGGTTTCAGGCACTGCGTGCATGGTGCATGGAAGTGCTGATAATCAAAATAGAGATCCTAAATGTAGTTATTGTCCTTGTATATAAGTCACCGGAGGCAAACCCTCAGCAGCGTAAAGACCAACTAATGAAAATAGAACACTGCTTGGAAAGCCTCACAAATCCAGCCCCGAACATCATCCTGCTTGGAGGACTTAAACCTACGGCACCTGAAATGGAAGCACCTGGCTAATACAATAATATCAGAAAGAATACCAGGAAGTAGCCTAAATGAACAGGCACATGCAAATGACCTGCTACGGATGTGCGACAGGTTTGCCTTTAAACCAGCAAATAGTAGAACCAAGTAGGAAGGAGAACACGCTGGACCTCATTTTCACTAATAATGATGAATTGATCAGGAACATAATGATTACAAATACCTGTTACTCAGATCACAACTTAATTGAAGTTCTGACAAGCATGGGGAATAGACCTTCAAAACCAGTCCAGATTCCCGGTGGAGGAGATTTCAGCAAATTCAACTTCAATAATAAACAGATAAACTGGGAGCAAATAAACCAGGACTTCACAGAAATAAACTGGGAAGAACAGCTAGGAAATGCAAACCTGAACCAGTGCCTGGAAAAAATAAGCTCAGTAGCACTAGAAATACTGTATGTTCAAACCGCATACCCTAAGAAAAAAGAGAAAGAGATGCAGAATGGAACGGGAACGTCATTCCCTAAATAGGCGAAGAAAACGAATCGTGGAACAACTTGAGATTTGCACCCTATCTCAAGAACGACGAAGAAGGTTAGGTAGAGAAATAGAAACAATTGAACTTAAGCTACAAGAATCATACAAAACCCAGGAGAGGCAGAGAGAGCCATCAGTGAAATAGAGAGAAATCCGAAATATTTTTTCTCCTATGCAAAATCAAGATCAAAAACCACATCTAGTATCGGGCCCCTGCGAAAGAGAGATGGAACTTTCACTGATGACAACAAAGAAATGAGCAAGTTACTGAGGAAGCAGTACGACTCTGTTTTCAGCGAGCCACGAAACGCACTAAAGATTGATAACCCAAATGAATTTTTCATGGATATGATACCAACATCAAATCATATATCAGATGTCATCCTATCCCCACCGGATTTTGAAGAAGCCATAAACAGTATGCCTATGCACTCTGCACCAGGCCTGGATTCTTGGAACTCCACATTCATCAAGAACTGTAAAAAACCACTACCGCAGGCCTTTCACATTCTGTGGAGACAAAGCCTAGATAATGGTGTTATCCCTGACATACTAAAAACAGCAGAGAGAGCACCATTCCATAAAGGAGGAAATAAGGCAGAGGCAAAAAATTACAGACCGATAGCACTAACATCACACATCATAAAAATTTTTAAGAGAGTGCTAAGAAGTAAGATCACAAAATACATGGAATCACAGCATCTCCATAACCCCGGACAACATGGTTTCGGAACAGGGCGCTCTTGCCTGTCACAGTTGCTGGACCACTGTGATATGGCATTAGATGCTATGGAAGACAAACAAAACGCTGATGTAATTTACACAGATTTCGCAAAAGCTTTTGATAAATGTGACCATGGTGTTATTGCACATAAAATGCGTTCAAAAGGAATTACCGGAAAGATAGGCAGATGGATCTACAATTTCCTGACTAAAAGAACCCAATGTGTAATAGTCAACAAAATAAAATCCAGCCCATCAACCGTGAAGAGCTCAGTCCCCCAGGGTACGGTGCTTGCTCCAGTACTTTTTCTCATCCTCATATCGGACATAGACAAAGAACACAACTTATAGCACTGTATTATCCTTTGCAGATGACACTAGGATCTTCATGAGAGTAGGCAACATAGAGGACACGGCAAACCTCCAATTAGATGTAGATCAAGTCTTTCTATGGGCTACAGAAAATAATATGGTGTTTAACGAAGATAAGTTCCAGCTCATG